AATATTACTGCTAATGACCACATGTCAAAGGCCCAAGGGGTGCTCGCGATGCCTACATATATATATATATATATGCATATGTATATACATATATGTATATATACATATATATATATATATGTATATATATATATATGTACGTATACATATATATATATGTATATATCAGTATATATGTGTATATATATATATATACATACGTATATAGGGAAAGGTGTAGCCTACCACGACTATATCGCAGGGAAATCCTGCTGGAATTCCGATCAGTAACTCCAAAAATATTACTCCTAATGACCACATGTCAAAGGCCCAAGGGGTGCTCGCGATGCTTGAAGCAGCCGTATTTCTCTGCAGCAGAAGGAACGTAAGCATCAGATAACATCAAATATATATATATATATAATACACATAAGCATCAGATGACATAATATATATATACATATATGTATATATTCATATATGTATATATATATTTATGAATGTACTCTCATCGTACTCTTATATATATATACATATATATATATATATATGTATATACTTTGATCGTACCAGTACATACACAGAGGTGCATATATATATATATATATATATATATATAAATGTATATGCATTCGGGGCCTCATGTCAAAGGCCCAAGGGGTGCTCGCGATGCTTGAAGCAGCCGTATTTCTCTGCAGCAGAAGGCACGTAAGCATCAGATAAGATAACATATATATATATATGTATATATTCATATATATATATATATGAATGTACTCTCATCGTACACTTATATATATATATATATACATACATATATATATATGTATATACTCTCATCGTACCAATACATACACAGAGGTGCATATATATATATATATATATATATATATGTATATATATATAGATAAATGTAAATACATTCGCGGCCTCATGTCAAAGGCCCAAGGGGTGCTCGCGATGCTCGAACGACCCGTATTTCTCTGCAGCAGAAGGAACGTAAGCATCAGATAACATCACATATATATATATATATATATATAGAATACACATAAGCATCTGATAACACAATATATATATATATATACATATGTGTATATATTCATATATATATATTTATGAATGTACTCTCATCGTACTCTTATATATACACATATATATATATATATATATCTCGCTATATATATATATATATGTATATACTCTCATCGTACCAATACATACACAGAGATGCATATATATATATATATATATATGTAAATGTACATACATTCGGGGCCTCATGTCAAAGGCCCAAGGGGTGCGGGCGATGCTTGAAGCAGCCGTATTTCTCTGCAGCAGAAGGCACGTAAGCATTAGATAACATAATATATATATATATATAATACACATAAGCATCTGATAACATAATATATATATACATATATGTATATATTCATATATGTATATATTCATATATGTATATATATATTTATGAATGTACTCTCATCGTACTCTTATATATACATATATATATATATATGTATATACTTTCATCGTACCAGTACATACACAGAGGTGCATCTATATATATATATATAAATGTATATGCATTCGGGGCCTCATGTCAAAGGCCCAAGGGGTGCTCGCGATGCTTGAAGCAGCCGTATTTCTCTGCAGCAGAAGGCACGTAAGCATCATATATGTATATATATATATATGTATATATGTATACATATATATATATATGTATATATATATATATATATACATATATATATATGAACTTTTATACTCTCATCGTACAAGTACAGACACAAGGTACATATATGTATATATATACACATATATGTGTATATGTATATGTATATATATACATATATATATGTGTATATATGTATATGTATATATATACCTACATATAAATACGAATGTGAGGCCTCAGGCGGCATATTATATTCCACGGCAATGATGTTACGCAAAACAGATGGCAATACCTACTTACTTCAGCGGGCCCGCTGCTATATCTACTAAATATGACATGTATATATATATATATATATATATATTTATATATACATATATATGTATATACATATGTATATATATACATATGTATATATATATAAATACATATATATGTATATATATATACATATAAACACGTATGTAAGGCATCGGGTGGCATGTATCCCGACACATGTTACGCAAAACAGACGGCAGGTCGTACTTACTTGGGCGGAACCGCCGCAACTTCTACCGAAGCTGAGATATATATATATATATATATATATGTATATATATGTATATATATACATACATATGTATATGTATATATATATCTATATATATATACATACACATACATACATCTAAAAACGTACGTAAGGCCGCGCGGGCGGCGTATCCTCCGGCACACGATGCGATTGCGCAGAACAGAACGGCAGGTCGTAGTACTTTGTTCAGCGGAACCTTCCCCCAACTGCTACTAAATATGACATATATTTATACACGTATATATATGTATATATAGATATATATATATATGTATATATATGTATATATATATATATGTAAATATATATATATGTATATATATATATATACATATATATATATATGTATATACATATGTATATATATATTCCGGCACATGATGTTACGCAAAACAGACGGCAGGTCGCAGTCCTCACTTCAGCGGAACCACCGCAGCTGCCACTGGAGCTGACATATACATGTATATAGATATATATATATATAGAGAGAGAGAGAGATATGTATACATACATATATATATATATATATATACCTTCATATAAGCCCGTACAGGCGGCAGGTAATAGTTGCTGCAGCGGACCCGCCGCAACGACCACTCAAGGCATCGAGCGGCATATATTCCCCGGCGCATGATGTATAATTACACAAAGAAACAGACGGCAGGTCATAGTACTTACTTCAGCGGAACCACCGCAACTGCTACTGTATTCGACATATGTACATACATATATATATGTATACATATATATATATATGTATCTGTATATACATGTACCCTCATATAAATACGTGGACTGCCGCGACTGCTACTGAATATTACATATGTACATGCATATATGAATATATATATATACATATATATATATACATATATATATATATACATATATATATATATACATATATATATATATATATGTATATACCTACATATAAACGCCGCACAGACGGCAGGTCGTAGCACGTACTTAGCGGCGCCGCCGCAACATCTTCTGAATATGACATATATATACGCACATATGAATATATACATATATAAATATATATATATGTGTGTATATGTACGTACATATAAAGCCGCACAGACGGCGAGTAATACTTACTTCAGCGGAACTTCCGCAACTACTACTCAACGCCTCGGGCGGCATATATTCCGGCGTGGCCATGACAGTCCCTCCCTCTTCTTCATGTCTGAAGGCTAACGAGAGGAGAAGAACAACAACAGAAAGCGGCAGAAGCGTCGATGACGAAAACGATATATATGTATATATACAAATGTATTCATATATAAGGTTTGTCTATGACGCAAACCTTGTATATGTATACGTATATATACATATATATTTATATACATGTACATATATGTACATATATATATGTATACATATATATATATACATCTGTATTTGTATATATATACTGCGGTAGGTGAAGAACACGAAAAAGCGTCAGCAGTGCCGATGACGAAAACTTTAGAGACTCTACATGCGTGTATAGCGAGTAGCAGTACGCTTTATGTATGCATGTGTGTATGTATGAATATATGTATGTGTGTCTGGGTGTATGTGTGTGTGTATGTGTGTATGTAGGTTCTTGTTTGTTGGTAAGTTCTACTTGTAAAGACAGAGAGGTTGCAACACGTTTCGCGTGCTCCACTCATGTGGAAGAGGCTGCTGCCCTCAGGTTTTATTTCACTCAAACATCCACACCGAGACCTTCTGTATGCGCTGTGTATATACGTATATATATATATATACATACATATGAATAAATATATATATATGTATATATATGTATATAGATATATATATATATATCTATATCTGTAGATGTATATATGTATATATATATATGTATATATATACATATGTATGTGTAAATATACATATATATACATATATATATGTATATATATACACGCACATATATGTATATATATGTAGGTATATATATGGTGCTTCGCTGTTTCCATGTCCACTACAGTGGATTATGGCCTGATTTTCGTGTTGCCGGTCTGCGAACGCCTCACCGCACCCGAAGTCGATGACTTTGGAGTATGTATATATATATGTATATATATATATATATATGCATATACAGATATATATGTACCTGTATAGGGCGCCTACATTTACTTGTCGACGGATTATTATGGCCTGCTTTTACACGTTGCTGGTCTGGGAAGGCCACACCGCGCTCGAAGTCGATGACTTCGATGTCGCCGCAGTTTCCCTCGTCCTCTGACCCTTTGACCCCAATGTCAATATGTATATATATTTATATTTATATGTGTATATATCTATATGTATATATATATACATATATATGTGTATATGTATACATATACATATACGGTGCGCCTATGTTTACATGTTGACTATAGCGGCTTATTACGGCCTGGTTTTCATGGTGCTCGTCTGGGAAGGCCTCACCGCACCCGAAGTCGATGACTTTGACGTCGCCGCAGTTTCCCTCGTCCTCTGACCGTTTGACCAGAATGTTGTCCGGCTTCAAATCCGCGTGGACGTATCCAATGTGGTTGAGAAGTTCGAGAACTTCTGAAGAAAAGGAACATTACGTTGGACAACACGCCCCAAGTGCCACTATATATTTGATATATATATGTAGTCGGCTCCACAGTGGGCTCCATCAATGTGGTTGAGAAGATTGAAAACTTCTGAAGAGAAACATCACGTTTGACAACATGCCTCAAGTGCAACCATATATCTGGAAGACACGGCGTGCTCCAGCAACGCACTCCGACGACTTTACGCTTGCATAACACCAAGCTTTGTGGTTGAGAAGATCGGAGACTTCTGAAACGAAACATTACGTTGGACAACACGCCCTAGGTGCTACTACAGATCTGACATACATATGCATATACATATATATATATATATATATATATATATATGGTGCTCTCCACCGTAAGCCCCACCAATGTAACCCGATAGATCTGCGCTTGTTTAACATCACGCTATGCGGTTGGGAAAACCGAAATCTTCGGAAAAGAGACATTACGTTGAACACGCCATGGGTGGTATTATATATATTTGGAAGACACCGTGGGCTCCCTCACTGTATTCCGATGAACTCGCGCTTGCATGACACCAAGCTGACCCCCCTATGCATACGCATACATATATATATCTAGAGAGGGAGAGAGAGGGAAACGTGCAGCTACAAAATATATACGTTTATACATATACATATACATATACACCGAAAAAGCGCGTCACCCATCCCCTTCGAACACCCGAACAAAAGGTAGTACGCCAAAGAGGGACCCGTTCCGAAATCTGACAGCTATACGTGCTTCTAGCGGTCCGTAAATGCAGGAGGGTGCGCCTGCTCCGTAAAGGTGAGCGGCGACATATCGCAGGAAGATATTGAAGCTACTCTAATTTGTCTTCAGAATACCGAGGACGTAATACTCTATCTGAGAACGTAATAATCTATTTGTCTGCTTCTGAAGTCTGCAAGAGCTTTCTTACGGAGCCTGAAAGGTTTTATCCGGCAGGTGTATATACACCTGGGGAAGGGGGATTAAGAGGAAGTCTGCTCGGGTAGCGTCGGCGGGTGCGTGGTGGACAGGGTCTGCTTTCTCTGGTAATGTATGGGTGGGGTTTCAAGCCTGGAGGGTGTGCCGCGGATGTGTTTGCTTCTTACTCCCAAAAGTGCGTGGTGGATGCGCCTAGATCCCCCCGTCGGAAGTATTTCAGTTTAATATGACGGCCACGTGTCGGTGGAAGCGGCTCGCAGAACGGCACTGAGAAACGCTTTATCCGGCAGGTGTATATACACACGGTCATATGTCCGTGGAAGCGGCTTGTAGAATGGCGTTGAGAAACGCTTCCTCACCCAGGACGTTGCGAAGAATTCTCTTCAAGATCCGCGGGTTCCTTTTCATTTCCGTGTAGTATGGCTTTTCCGCTATTCGGTACACTCGCCTCATGTCAACAAACTCTCCCTTGATACTCCGAATAAGCTTCGACAGAGGAAGGCCTAGAGTCGATACAAAAGTCGTTGCAGACTCAAAAATAAAGCCTCGGCAGACACATACGAATGCCCAAGGTGTATCATGTTGTAGAATGACTGGCACTGTGAGTCGCTGCAGAGTTAAAAATGCAAAAGAAAAGCCTCGGTAGACAGATAGGAATGGATAAGATGTCTCAGGTTGCAGAGGAATTGGCAGTCTGAGTTGTTGCAGACTCTGCATCGAAGCCTCAGTAGACAGACACGAATGTACAAGTTGTATCAACTTGCAGAATGGTTGATATTGTGAGTCGTTGCACAGTAACAAAGAAAGAAGCCTTGACAGACAGACACGAGTGTACAAGGTGGATCAAGCCGCGGAATGGGTGACATTGTGGGTCTTTGCAGACTCAGAAATCTTGACTCGGTAAACAGATACGACGGTCGAGGTGTATCAAGCTGCAGAATGGTTGACATTGTGAGTCGTTGCAGACTAGGAAACAAAGCCTCAGTAGACGTATACGATTGTCCAAGGTGTATCAAGTTGCAGAGTGGTAGACACTGTGAGTCGTTGCCGACTCGAAAACAAAGCCTCAGTAGGCAGACACGAATGTACAAGGTATACCGAGTTGCAGAATGGGTGATACTTCACAAAGTCTTTGCAGCGTTTTTCCTTGGCAACCCTTCTTTCGCACCGTACAGCAAATCATACGACTAGCAGTGTTACTCAGGCCGCGGCGACGTACGATGCTGTCGTGGCACGCATTTTGCGCCGTTGCAAACTCTTTTACAAGCGAGTCATACGTGTAGCAGTGTTACTCAGACGCCGACGATGTACGGTGTAGTTTTGGCAGGCATCTTGCGCCATTACCTGCGAACTCTTGTACGAGAAAGAGGGAATTCTTCCCTTGCGTCACGCCATAGAAGCGCGCGATATGGTCGCACCCTGGCCATCGCGCGCTATCAAATCTAGGCTGCCCTTCTGGACAAAACAAGCGGCCTGCGCAAACAGAAAAGTATGGAGAAGGCGAAGGGCAGACAGAAAAATATGGAGAGGGCGAAGTGTAGGCCAGCCGGACGATTTTTCTAGCTGAGCTCTCTGAGGCACTCGAGCGGTGCTACAAAATGGATCATTGGAACATCCTCCACGGTATGCCCACCACCATGCGTAATATTCACTTATACGCTTATAAATAGATAGGCGGACAGACATACCTATTGCATATGCATAATATCCTTTTTAACCACGGATTTAAGCCCCACGTCCTAAGCACGCTGCACGTGTTGAATCTGGCCTGAGCAGCCCACAGGGCAGCGTGTCAGGCGCCAGCTGAACTGCTGCCGTGGACGTCATGGAGTGGGTGAACTGGGAGTGCGTGTTCTGCACCAATAGTACAGCTACGCCCGCAGGTGGTTAAGCGTGAGCATTCACTGTCGCCGGCAGCCGTTGGCTTTCTGAGGCGCCGGAAGGTGATATGCTGGGGAGCGCTGGCAGTTCTGTGCGAAAAAGCTAGGATAGTTTTGGCCGGAAATACCGCACGGAAGGAGGCCTCCGATAACGCGCGACTGTTGTAGTGCGAAAGTAGGAGAGGGTGGGGGCTTCCTCAGGCGCAGGTGTCTGTAGACTCGCACTGCTGTCTACTGTGGAACTTGACGTACCTGCCAGCTCGACTTCGTTCACCACCGGAAGTGCCGAGGCTGTAGACCCTCTCTCCCGTCTGATCTGCACAGAAACAGACGTTGAGGGTCTCGTTTCTGAATGACGGTGGATAGACAAAGAAGCGCCAGTATATCCAGAACAACGTCCTCTGAAGCCCTGTCGTCTGCAAAAGCGGAGTCGCCTACGTTGTGGTGCTATTTGGTCGGCGTGAGCCGGCCCTTATTTCTCCATGAGAAAAGGTTGCACTTATATCGTCAAGAAAGATGGGTGTCAAACATCACACGCGCTCACACCACGTCGTGCTTAGCCCACCACTGTTTGCGTGGCGCTCCCACCTGTTTCACAGCGACTATCTCCCCCGTCGTCATGCACTTGGCCATCCACACGACCGAGGATCCGCCTCTGGCAGAAAGGAGCAACACACAGAAACCTGCTTTGCTAGGGTGCGAAAACGTGTGTCCCATCGCCTACAGTTCGTGTGCGTGGATTCGGTTGTATTTAATGCGTTCGACAGTGGCCGTATACACCTGCCATAGCGCGTGCAGAGCTCAACAACTGAAAAAAAATCCCGATAAGCTCTGTGAGAGCAACTCTCAGCGATAGACAAACGTGCTTCGGTGTTGTCAAGGCCGGACGTGTCCCCCCCGGGAATATTTTCCACCATTCTTGAGCCCGGAGGAGCTTCCGCTGCTATGAAGTATGCTATTTACTGCAACGTAGGGAGATCTTTGCCTAGTGTGCGCTCTCAGCAGCTGCGGCCTACACGAAGGGGTTTCACACCTTCTGACGAAAGAAACGAAGCGCTAAACGGGTTACAGTCGAGAATCATGACTTGCGTAGGCTCGGCTTCTCGACAGGTCGCTTCTACAGCTCCAGCGCCGTAAACGTAATTCAAAAACTGCGTATATCTCACCGCCCGAGAGGTTTTTGTGACACCTTCTGATAGCCAGGAAGCCACTCCAGCTCGAAGGACGGCGATTCCCCTGAAAGACAAGGCAGCCTCGCCTATAATTTCGATTGGACGCGTGAATTTGATTGATGGGAAGCGACACGCGTGTCTTTAGCACTGGGTCCTACATTGAGCAAGCAGGCTTAGTACTAGCTCAACACGTAAGCGAGCGGCGCGTGCTTATAGCTTAGCGGAACTCTGTTGCGCCGGTAAGAATTGTGCAACTGCGCAGGTTTATACATACGCGGGCACACGCGCGCGCCGCCCACTATATGTGTAAAGCGTGTGTATCGGGCTGCATCTCGGTCCTAGACGCGCTGGACTTCACCGCACCCCACGTAGCTACACATAGTCGGCATATGCGGCCGCGCGCACGTATATGCGAACAAAAGCGGAGGGTAGGCCAAGACTCACGGCGGCAGACGGCGTGCTTTCGGCATGAATCTTCGTCAGCCTGAAGAGTTTCAGCGAGGAAGAGAGCAATCATCGCAGGATACGTCTACCTCTGGCAATCTGCAAATGGGGATCCGCCATCATCTCCAGTGCCGCGGAACTCGCGGCGTTGTTGGCTGTTAACGAACAATTTTTCGCCCTTCCCCCGCCTTGCGGACAAGCTTGTTGCTCACGAGGCGGGCCAGCCTTTGTGCACGCACAGGACCGTGAGAGAATCTGTGCAAGAGGGTGCCTCTGCTGCTGTGGAACGCGGAGGACAGCGTCCCGCGCTTTCTCCGCTTGCAGCAACTGGGCGCGCGAAACGAGAAGAAACGTCCACAGACAGTCGGCTGCATCTGTACAGGCTTTCAGTCGCACAGCTTTTAACTTCTTCGCTTAAGAAGCAACAAATAACGTCACCCAGTCGCTGCAGACTTCGGCCTGTACGCTGGACGCTACTGTCGCCTCTCGTGAGCATGTCATCGCACCAAAGCACGGCCAGAATACACATCAGATATCCCCTGTCTCTGAAACGCTGCTACGCGCGGATGAAGAAGCAGATGCAGAGTGAGGCGCTTCACCCGCAGCAACGCCTGGAGCACGCGACGGTATATGTCAGCGCTGGGATCGAACCGTCGCAGCTGCAGAACAGGTATCTGCAGTGCATCGGGACGCGAAGGGGCTAAAATCTGCACGCTAGATCGCACAAGCGTGTATGTATCCACTGAAATACTGACCATGTCGCGCGGCCAGACTGTACCTGTCGGGAGACAGCAGGCTGCCGCCTTGTGCTGAGAGCTCGCGTGATGGCTTCTCTTTCGTGCGCTTTGTCTGAGCCCACGTCCGACCGTGTCCTCCTGGCTGGTTTGTCTAACCGTGGAGGTATCGGCAAAGAAATGCTCGGTCTGATGTTAGGGTGTGAGCGCCATGGCGAGGTAGCTGCCGGCAGCTGGTTAAAGCCGCCCCGCGCAGGGCGTCCCGCGCTAGGGCTCCCCATCTCCCTGCTCTCTTTTGGGGAAGCTTTGGCGCTTCCGTCTGATTGAGCACCAACGTCTTCGTATATTTGTGCAGACACACTCACAAACTATGCAGGACTGAGGTGGCTTAAGCGTCTCGCCAGGGAGAGCGAAGATTGCAGCATTTTGGTGCATTTTACTCGCCGCGGCTCGCCAAGCGTTGCCGACAGACCACAGCTTCACAGGTAAGGTAGGACTACAACCGCGGGGGATAGCGTGCCATCTTCAGTGAAACCACGCATATGGTGGTTGGCTCGCTCGGCAATGGGGGCGGCATTCTAGAGCAACACGAGACGTCTGCAAAGAGGACCTTTTTAAAGTAGGGACCGCATTCTTATGCTCCTTTAATGGGAACACCCGAGGCTTCATTGCTCCCTGTGAAGCCCCAGCGATCAAATTTTCGTGGATACTGGAGTCCCCTGCATAGCCGCCTCGAAGCCACCCACAGAAGCCGCACTCCGCAGTCGTGGATGCTGAGGCGGCAACTAAGTCTCAGGTGACGTATGGACGTAACCTGTAACGGTTCAGTAGAGGCTACGAGGCTGCGCTTCTCCAGGAGCAGCTCAGGTAGCGCAGATCACTTTTTTGTGGCATGCACGCTTGAGCGAAACTGCGCGCCCCCGACAGCGTCTACCTACCAGCCGCCGGCTTCTTTTCGACCAATGTCAACAAGGCCGCGGGCTTCATTCGAAGTTAGTCTGCCACACGCTATTAAACTGGCTACCAAAAGAAATGTATAGTGGGCGCTTTTATTCTTTGTGCTTCAGCGCTAGTTAGAACTGTTTCCAGTATTCTTCTTGTTTCAGCGTTGAACGAGAACTGCCCCGGCATCGGGTGATATTATGCTGCATGCTTGGGCGCTTCATATCTGAGGAACGTCAAACCGGCGATTGGTGCACAAACACGGTGTAGGACCTTTCTTCCAGCGATTCACGGGGTTTTCGAAGCCGTGACGCCCAGCGGTCTCTCCCCAAAACCGTTGTAATTTATTATATAAAACAGTCATTATCGAGGGCGCAGCAGGGCAAGCTGCACTGTTGACCGCACCAAAGGGCCACCAGACCAGTGCTTCGCCGCTCTTGCGCGTCCCAGGGGGGCCGGGCTACGAGATACTAAAGTACCGTTTCCGACTGGATATTCCGTATCCTCTCGCGCCGAGTAGGGGTATTCTGTCTTTGTTTAACACTACCCCGGTACGGAACGGTGACCGTTCGCGAGCTAACTTTCCCCATCAATCACCGGATGTAGCCAGTGGACTGTGCAGAAGACCTGACGACACCGAGGCGATACAGGCAGGATTGACGGAACGGTGGACGTTTCAGACCGGGCGTTAGAGGTACCTTTACTGCAACGTCGGCGTGAACACGGCCTAGAAGAGCGGCTGCATTACTGGACCACAGAGGATTTGAAGACGGCTGTGCGGCTGAGGACCGACTTTTTTCTGCAGTATAGCCTGTGTGTCTGTCCCTATGGCTTCACAGCGGCCTCCTGTCGGGGATCCCCTGGCAGCCGAGCTGGAGGGCGACGATCCGGAGGAGACTCCGATGCCGCCGATGAAAATACGGCACACAGACTTGTCGCAGGCTCTTTTACTGCGAGTGCAAAAACTTGTAGCGAAGGCCTTCGAGGAGCACAAGCTCGAAAAAGACATCGCGTCTGCAATCAAAGATTCTTGCGACAGGGATGCTGTCTTGAACTCGTCCAAGGAAGGCGCTTGGCAATGCGTTGTGGGATCCAATTTTGCTTGCTCGGTGACGCAGACAGCCGACTGGATCACCTTCATCGATGTGCTACCCTCGCAGCAGACTGTTCTTCTCTTCCGCTCTCGCTGATTCAGCTATGCCATGTTAACTGCGTACTCGAGTATAACCTATTCGGTCGGGGGAGGATACCTTTACGAAGTTTCTGTTCTTCGCGTGAGAGCGTAGTATGTTGGTGCTTGGCAGTAACATGAGTACTTTTAGTAAACTGAGGATACCAGAGCGTGTTCAATACAATGCAATGTGTTTGGAGCCTGGAACGGAGGCATTTCCGTTCCAAACCGGGACAGCTTCCGAAAACGAGCGGCGCGTTTCGATACTGTGTACCGACATTCACTCGCAGTGCTGACATAGTGCTGCACACATTGTGGCAACGTTGACATTCGTGGAGCACGGACGTTGAACTCTGCTGGAAGAATAAGGTCGTATAGGCGCACCTTAAGAAAGGTGGACTCTTCTAGAGAGAGCGCGGGACGCTAAGCGTCACCACCCGCCGGGTGGGTCACGCGCTACAGGTACTTTTCCGGACAAGAACACAGAAAGAGGTGGCCTGCACTGTCCCGCACGCACCCGGGCTGGAAGGCGGCAGGCACGCAGAAGGGGGAATCTGCCATGCTACGAAGGCGTGTTGGGCAGAAGCATTGGTTTGCATACCGCAGGACGCAGCCCCGCATTACGGGATCTTCTGTTTGCAACCGGCGTCGCGGCCGCACGGGTTCTCCACGTGAGACTTTCAGGTTTCCAACGAGATACTTTCCACATGGGAGTCTAACACGTGTGTAAGGCTGGGAGGTCGGCAAATAGCTGGCGTCCCCTTTCCGCCCATGCTGCGCGTTTCACCGTGTGCGACAGCTTCTGCTTAGCCAAATTTAAAAATTATCCAAAAAGCCGCAGTGACCTGACGCACACGGTACCACGCGCGGCGGGCTGTTACAGACGCATAGTGCTGACTGGTCACGGCGCAGAACTTGAGCGCCAAACACCTCCGCTGGGTCGCAAGAGATGAGTACGCACACCCCTCCTCCCGGTCCCTTGCTGGCACTACAAGTATTTCGCAGACACACACTATTTTTCTTGAGCAGCGCAGTAGTAAAGCGCAGCTCACATGACTGCACATCAGTGTGTTCCAGGTGACCCTACACGTCTTACTTGAAATTTACGCCGTGTGATGCCGACAAATGCAGACAGCGAATTCCTACGTCCGCGCTCTCCGGCCGCTGCTACGCTGCTGACGTTCCCCTGCCCTAACCGAAATTCGTGATACGCTTCAACTGTGTTCAGCTCAGCTTCGTACGACGCAGTGCACCGAGACCTGCGATGCTGGCAAAGAGCGGAGCCGAACACCTCCGCTGGGTCGCAAGAGCAGAATAAGCACACCCCTCTTCCCGAACCCTTGCTAACACTACAAGTATTGCGCAGACACACACTATTCTTCTTGAGCAGCGCAGTAGTAGAGCGCTACTCACATAACTGCATATCAGTGCGTTCCAGGTGACCCTACGCGTCTAACTTGAAATTTACGCCGTGTGATGCCGACAAATGCAGACAGCGAATCCCTACGTCCGCGCACTCCGGCCGCTGCTACGCTGCTGACGTACACCTGCTATAAGCGAAATTCGTGATACGCTTCAACTGTGCTCAGCTCAGCTTCGTACTACGCAGCGCACCGAGACCTGCGATGCTGGCAAACAGCGGAGCCACTTGGAGCTGTCCAGAGCGACTTTGGACTGCTGCAAGGCGAGCATCGCTTATTTGGTCAGCGCGCCGAGGCAGGAGAATCGCCACGCGTCTCACCATATCGGGCTGTGCACCGACGGTGCGGAGCGGCTGCGCTGAGTGTCTCGCAGTGCTGTTTGTAGCTTGGGTACAACCGTACGCGACTACGCTCTTCGGTGCTATCTTTGAGAGCTGTGCTGTCAGTGGACGGCAAAAAGAAAATTGAGACTTCCATTCAGTGTGCGACGGTGCACATGCAAAGATACGCCGCCGCAGTTTTGTCTACACAGTGTGCGCTGAGGGCTGCGCGCCGGCGCATAATTCCACGTATTATTAGGACGGGCGCACGGTATGCTACGGCGATAAATAGGTTGACAGAAGTCCTATGTGTGAGTAAAGTTTTATTTTCCCTGCGCGATACCTCGCAGAATTCTTTGTCTTCTTCTCCAGCCGAGGTCCCCTCCCCCGACGCACCCCTTACCGTCGCCGATCGCCGACACTGACTGTCAAGCTGACAAGGGGTGACCGTCCCGAGATATGCCAGCGTAGAAGGGCCTTGAGCTTAGCGGCTGAAGCATCCGCTCTTGTAAGGGCCATGCGCATATTTCTGGACTCTACCTGCATGTTATGACCGATTCCTGTGTATGCGCATCGGGTACGAACTGTAATGTGGGACAACGTGCGACTAGCTGAATCGACCATGGCTCATCCAAGACGCTGTGCTCAACAAGGAAATGCCCCCTGCTCTTTCCGCCTGCAACACCCGTCCCTATCTACTTCATGTCTTTCGTCCTGACTCTGCTCAAAGATAAGGACGAGAGGGGTGCTTGAAAAGAAACTGTACGGCCGATGCACTTGCTGACGATAGCGCAACAGTAACAAGCGCGCCCCGGGAGCATGTGCTCTGTACCTGAGCCTCTCCCAAGATGCTGAGTCCCTTCACGAAACCGTTGTGCAACATCTCGCCTAGAGATGGCGCAGGAGCTTCAGGAGCCCTGCAACGTCCTTCATCGGGACACACAGCATCAGCAGCTCTAGAAAGCCCTCCACAACTAACAGGGAGTGAGACTCGCCTATGTAGAAGCGAAAGCAGTACCGTGTGTATTCGGCACACAAAGCCACTTCCTAGCCGGCCTCCATATACCTTGTGCCCGTGAAAGTGGCTACCCCCACGGCCGCCACGCGGGCCGCCGCAGACGGCCATTGTCTACTGATGGACCCGAAGACTGGACAGCGAACAGTGCCACATGCTGTAGTGAGTAGACGAGGGAGGCCCGTTGTAAAGGCTAAGTCATTACGCGGTTTTGTTGGCCCGACACGGCAACGGAGTGTTGAAGCGGAGGGCGCGAGGTCGGTACAATGCTATCGATGCCGTTGCTAAGAGCCGCACAGACACATACTATCGATAGTAGGGAAAACCACTAGATTTTGAGCGTTGTGAGGCGGGAACCGCAAAAGGATTCGGAGCGTCTTCAGCCGCGTCATCAGGGCGGGGAGTCTGCAAATCGGAAGGCAAACCTACCAACTTCCACTGCGGACTCCCTCGCCCGTTGTTGTCCGAATGAGCAAATCCTTTAATAAGGCCGTGGACCTACTGGGTCTTCTGCATGGTCGTCGTTGCCATTTTGCATAGCATCAGTGTCTCCCGTCGCCGCTAGCTGACGGCATCCGCTCAGGGCGCGTCGCAAAACGAGGGCCAGTCAAAACAGTTATCGCTGCGATATCGGCGGCAATAACCTCAGTCTGCAGCACATACATACATTGTGAAGTTTTTCTCCGTTTATCTGGTGCTGCTCTTGTTGGACTGCTGAGTTGTGCAGCCTGCCAAGGCTTCGGGTGCTTCCCGCTTGTGAAGGCCGCGTCGCTTTCCTCATGCTATCGCTTGTGTGAATCCGGAACGCCCGTGAAACTGCGGCCGGCGTCAGGGCCACAAGGCAGCATCATGCCTAACTGTCTTTTCTTTCAGGCGCATCAGATGTATGCTTGTCTGGTAACGATTGTACGGCGTTAGCGCGTACCTTCAAGGCCGCGGCTTCCTCCGTCTTGGCTCCCCATGTTGGGTGCGAGAAGTGCGATAGTACTACACTTGTCGGGAGCAAATGCAGCGAGTGGTTGAAGGGGGAGACGGATCCACGTAGTGTATAGCGTCGATGAATGTGGCGTGTCTCATGCTGGTGAATGCACCGGCGGTCTGCGCGTAGTCGTGTTGATCTCTCTTTTGATGTCGGTTGGGCTGCCGCGTCGCCTTTTCTTCTGCGCAGTCTTCAGCTTAGCGCATACGGGCGAGAAGTCCTTCTTCCTTCATGATTTGCTCGTAGACACGGGGGGCGGGCACGGGCACGCGGACCGGCATTATCCGCTGTTCCAGGAGGACGCGTCTGTATCACGTGGTCCGTGGTCGTGTGGAGCTGATACAATGGAGGCAGCGTCTTTCCACGAAACAAGACGGTTTTTTAGCGATGCGCTGCTCAGTTTCGACATAAACTGACAGGCACCCCCGGGAGCAGCCCCTCCTTTCTCTTTGTGCTGTGCGCGAGGTGAAATGACTTCCCCTTCCGTTGCTTTCTGGGTGTCAGGCGCCCTCACCTCCGCAGCGCTTATCATCTTTCTGGTTGTGGCGGCTGTGTTTTATTATCGGCGAAATGCGTACCACGAAGCGCGCAAGCAGGCCTGCCTTGAGGCGCTGGGTAGAAACCCCGCAGGAGCCGGCGGAGGAATAAGTAGGCGTGAACAGAGACAATGGCGCATGCCGCCCCCGTAACCCCCGGCTTTCGTGTACGCTCGAGGAGCCCAGCGTGTGTGTCCTGCGAATGGTATCCGTCATCAGGGAGTATGCCCGCCGCTGCTTTTGTTTTCCTTACATGCAGTCTGCCTATATGCAGGCAGGAATAGAGATCTCGCACACTCGGTAATCTCTACGCCTACACCACTCGTACTGCTGCAGTAGCATTTCGCCTGCGCATGTATCGTCCTATTCACGTGGTTTTGAGATGAAAATGTTTCTGCCTGGTTGGGCTCTTGAAGAGCCGCTATAACTGCACGTGTAGATGTCAGGCTGATGGCGCCTCGCGTTCAGGAGCGACCCGGCGAATCATTAGAGGCTACGATTGTCCTTTTTGAGTGAAACACAGTGGTGGTGCGGAACACGCGGGAGAACGTGAGTAGTCGCAGAAGCTGAGTACACGGTAAATGGCTGCTACGCTTTCTTGTTGTGCTGCATGCGTCTGGTTTGGAGTCTCCGGATCGCGTTTAAAGAGTGTAGCAGCTGTCCGTCGTTTCATCGATGAAGCTTACGCTCCACACGTACAAACACAAAGCGCGGCCACCTCCGGGCGCACGGATTCGCTTCAAACATCTGGCCAAGGAAAGCATTTATACTAGTACTCCTTTTATTACTGCTGCTACCTGTACCACTATTTCAGGGAGATGCATGTTTGGGAGCTGTTCGAACGTCGCGTTTGCACATCGCTTCTCTCAATATATCTGCATTTCGGTAGCTACTGGGGCTAATGTGCTGATGATGCGGCTGAGCGTAAGTGGTGTATTCTGAGTTGTCTTCTGCTCCGTGCACGGAAATAGTCGCTGTGCCGTGTCGCGGCTGTGCGTCTGCGCGGCTAGCAGCTGCGTCAGGTGGCGCTGAAAACGAATTTTGTCTACTGTTGTTCGCAGGGCAAGACTCGCGGAAGAAGAAGAACGGCAGAACGCCGACGCCTTCGTCCAGAATCAGTCCGGCGACACCCCCTTCAGCAGCAGCGGCAGCAATTCCAGTACTCGTAGCCGGACCCCACCCGTACTACACCGACCCGACGAAGTATACTTATGAGTCGTTCTACGCTGCCACCAGTCCGGTAAATGTGCAGGAGGGATGATATTCCTGCGCTGCGACTTTCTGTGTCGTAAGAAGTCCAGTGTGGCTCTTGCGAAAGAGACGAAGTCAGCAGGAGGCGCAGCAGCGAAAAGCAGTGTGCCCACGCGGCCGTGACTGCGAAGCCGGGGGCAGACGACCACGCGGCACACGCAGAGGCAAAATGCAGTGTAGGAAGAACGGGAGGAACGAAATTGCAGTAGAGCCGCGGCGGTAGGTGGCGCCGGCGGGGGGGGGGGGGGGGTGGTGGAGTTGACGCGGGGGTGCGTCCCAGTTTTGTGAGAATTCGAAGGACACAGGGAGAGGCGACAAGTAGAGGCCTCTTAGCGTATAAACAAGCGTGAATAGTCGTCCTGCGCGCGGGATAGCCATGTTGACGGGCGCGCCACAACGACCAGTTTGTTTGAAAGTGGCATTTCTGCGCAGGCGCTCTTCGGTTTCCGGAAGTGGGAGGCGGTCAGGTGGAGATCTTCTGGTTTGTGACGGCCTTTTGTGAGCCGCTAAAGGCTCAGTCACATCTCCGCTCCGTGGGGTGGTTGTTTGTTTCAATTTCTTTGTGAAAGCACTTCGTTGTACTTGCCGAAGACGTGTAGCACACTCTTGGCAGCGAGTCTACCGTGGCAAACACTTGGCGGTAGGGGGCTTCATTGGCATGTTGGGTAATGGGGTACTTTCGTACATGTGCTTGCACTATGTTCGACCAGTCTGCGCTGCTGGGCGAACCGTGTGAGCGAATGTGTGCACGAAGAAGGGGTGATGCTTGCAGGACACAGGTATTTCTTTGTGTAGATATTTCTGGCAGGTCTCGTAGGCGTTACAGAGCCCACCGTTCGCGTGCGGTTCTCTCTGGAGTTGTATTTGCTTTTCGAGGCGCTCTACAGCACGTGCGTTGGCGTGGTCTCACGACAGATTTGATGTAGGTGGCGCTATGGGGGGATCTGGAGTACTTTGCGCGCTTACGTGGTTTTGGAAGTTATTTCAGTTCGTTTTTCCTAGGTGCCACGCGCGTGCGCTGGTCCACATTTTCTTCATGCGGCCCTTCTTGACATCTGAACTTTGTGAGCTTGAGCAAGCGATTTTCGTCAGTTTTTAGGAGTGATGACCGTTCCGAACCTGCACGGTGTGTCTCAAACTCACTCGAAGCGGTCTTCGTATCTATTGTCTGTCAGCTTGAGACCAACCCATAAGCGGCCGTGAACAGTCTTCCTGTGGGTCTCGGACATCTGTAAGGCGGAACGACGCTGCAGCTCTGCGTAAGCAGTGGAACGCTGTACGCGCAACTTTGCATTGTAGAGTTCACAGGGTACGCTGACGGGTTTTCGGGGAGTGGCTAGGAAGCTTGTTACTTGGACAGATGCGTCTTCTCGGGGAACAGTAGCTTCTCCACCAGCCGCAGACCAGCTTTGAGTGCTAGTCAGTCGATGGCCTGCCTTACAGTAGCGTAAGGCCAACTCCAAAGCACCTTTCGTGGTTGTCACTTGATGGCCCTGCCCTACAGTAGTGTAAAGCTAGCAGCAGCTTATTCGGGTGCCAAGCCTGCGACAGCTCCTGCGGCTTCTCCCTGCGGCAGTTCCAACACAGTGGACGCTTTTATGCGGCTGGCCCGGCCCTGCCGCCATTAGTGACGGTTGAAGCGTACACCAGGAAGCGAAGATCCTACTCATTGGCTGCTGTCCCGTCGCCGTGGCTCGCCGCTGCTGCACAACTCATTATTTTGCAAATATAATCTGCGCAGCTAAAAAACCGTGTGCCGAAAGACCCCCTTTACACACGTCAACGTAAAGCGGCACGAAAGCACAGCCGAATTGCCGTGTGTGCGGGCAGGTGCGCATCGTGCCGGTTGTATGCGTTGTGCGCGACCAGCTTAATGCAACTCGTCTGTTACTGCTTTCATGGCGTCTTCCACAGACCTCGGAAGAAAATGGACACTTTTGCTGCGAACGTGCCATTGATGCGCGGCAGTGTCTTTGAAACAGGCTTGTGAGAGCGTTGGCCAGAAAACGGGGGGCTGACCCCTCTGCTCGATTCTGAAAGCCTCATAACGTACACAGTAAACGATCGATGACGCGTCTGCGTGGGTGCTGTGGGCCTGCAACGATACCACACCACTCTTCTGTGACTGCGGTAGCGACGTCTTTCCTTCCTGCACTCTGCCTAAGCTCCCGCAGCTGATGCCGCTCTTGATACAGTACGGACCGAGCTAGGCCATGCACGTGTGTGTGTGAAGAGGCTCCCGGAGATTTAACAGGAGTGAGCCTTAGATACTCAGCCGCTGCTCTGCCTGTGGGAGAGCACCGCGGTGGACAGAGGTGAAAGCATCTGGCCAGCCTTTCATCAGGCTATTGCATGCCACTGCCAGCTTCCAGCTGGCTCCAAATCTAGTCTGGCGTCGGTGCGCGGTGGGCTGGCAGACCCCTGTGGACTCGACGGAACAATGTTCGCCAGTCTTAACGCCGGTCTGAGCGCAGGGCTCTAGCATTCTCTAGAAAGGATTGTATCCGTCATCGACCTGTGCAAACGCGTCTAGGATAGGTTTGCCATGCGTTTCCTCCCAGCTAAAACTCGCGGGCGCCAGTCCTGCTCTCGAACATAGCATTTCACAGCACGCGCGGCCTTCCCTCACCACAATATCCGTAGAATGTGCAGAAGTCCTCCCCGGGGAATATAGACTTCAGGACACATACTGCGCCGGGCTCCACGCATGCAGTGCACATCTGCCCTTCACGCACTTACAGTTGCGCGGGGCGGCCTCCCCCTCATGCATATGCATTTGTGCGTTCAGCACCCAGATCTACCTAGTCTAACCCGGACCCTCCTGCGGGGTCTCGTGTGTCTATCTGACCATCTATCTCCGGCTGGTCGTTCTTAGCCGACAGAGGCGCGCACATACCGTCGAATGCGCGCTCTGATTATGCCAACTTACACACAGATTCTCAACAGTCGGGCCACCGTGCGTTCTTCGCTGACAGTGTGCCCCGATAAGGACTGTCCAGGACGTTCGCCTGCTTTCCGAGGGAAGCTGATACGGCCCTCGTTGT